TGATGCCAAGATGCTGGATGCTGGAGAGGACACCTGTGGATTGTTAGAGCTCCTCGCCCACCTGGGGGGAAGTGCCAGGCACTGGCTGGGAGTCCCGAAAAATACAAGGAAAGTTATCATCTGCCACCTGCGGGTACGCATGCGCGCGCGCGCGCACACACACGCACACATACACCACACACACATCACACACACACATATATACACACCTCTTTCAGTGATCATTCTAACTCTTTGTTATGGGATGTGGGTTGTTATGGTGATGGGAGCAAGGAGGCACTGAGGTAGAAGTGGACGGAGGAAGAGATGATAACGTGAGAAGGGCTGTTGCCTTTATAATCTAGGGTCGCGGTATGGATCTGAGCCGAGCTCAAAACGTGATGTCGTCTGCTCCCTGATGGCAGCAGGCAGCTGGGAGCCCAGAGTGTTCTGAAAGACTCTGCAGACCCACCTCTCTCTGCTTCTCCTCGCGCATCCCCCAGCACAACCCAAGAAGGGAGAATCCCAGAGACTGCCCGCTACCAATTCCAACCAAGTCTTCCGATTCCCACAGCCACGACCTTGGGTGCCCTGCTCCCCGTTATAACTCCACCCCCAGGGACCAAACTCTGCCCTGGTTTCCTCTGAGCACCACTGAGACGGGAGGGGGTTTTCAAGGGAAGGACACAAACCGGGGTGGCCAAGAGCCAAATTCACCTCGACTCCTCCAGCCGCCACCTCCGCTCACTCCCCGAGTCCCAGCCCCGGCTAGCACCGTGCTGGGTCTGAGACCCACTCAGCCCTGCCACCTCCACGTTCTCCAGTCCTTCCCTCCTCCCTCTTATCCGTAGCTCCCGACTCCCCAGCAGAGACAGTGTTCTGGTCTTGGAGACCTTCCTGGGAAAGCCAGGGGGGGTTAGGGACCAGCATTCCCCACTTCTCCACGTTTCCATCCATAAAGCCGCTCCGGGGTCCTCTCATCAAGTGGCAGGACAGGAGCAAGGGTGAATTCCTCACGGTGATAGCCACCCTGATTCTCCTGTGCGTAGGATTGTGTATCCTCCAGACCCCTTCCTCAGACCTGGTCTCATTAACCACTCACCACAGCCTCCTCTTCAGCTCCATTGTACAGATGAAGAAACTGGAACCCAGAGAGGTGAAGCGACTGGCGCAAGGTCACACGGTGGGTCAGCAGCAGAGCCGGAGGAGGGACACAGGGCTGTCCACCTACATGCCCCCACCACCCTTAGGACTCGCCACCCCTTGGCCTCTCTCTTGGTGGTGAAATTGTGCTGAAATACAGGTGAGGAGCGGGAGGGGAAACAAGGCCCCGGGCCCAAGATCTGGCTCTCAGGAACGGGGCCGAGGTTCCTTCGAGTTAATACACATCATCTCACAGGGCTGGCCTCATAAATATCATCAGATCCCGCAGAATCCATCCAGCCCGCCAGGGCCCTGGACGTGAGGAACTCTGTATCCTGTTCCCAGCCACAGCAGGTGGAAATAGTGTGAACTAATGAAATCTCACCAGCGAAGCTAACAGCTGAATGCTCCTGGCAGATGGCAGCTGAGACTGCTGACCCACACACCGGCCGCCTGCCCTCCACTAGCCGGGAGGCCAGAGTGGGCTTTGGGGAGAGCACTGAACATGAGTGGAGGCAGACAGACCAGGCTCTGGTCTCAGCGTGCTGTGTGACCTTGGGCAACTGACTTAACTTCTCTGAACTTCATCTTTAAAAAGAGGATAATGGGAACCATTGCAGTAACACATATGTGGGAGCATCCAGCTGAGGGCCAGGCACAGTATTGGGACCTAGGGGATAGAAGGGGGGTCAATACGGGGATGTGACATCCATCCACCTACCCAGGTGCCTCATCTCTGTTCCGAGTAAGAAACCCTGATGCTGGGGGAACGTTCCAGTGGGCACTGCTGCTGCCTTTAAGCCAAAGTCCAAGGTGCGGAGTGGTGCCTGTTACACCTCATGAGGGACAGGATGGGAGTGGGGAATCTCTAGTCCAGAAAGTTACTCTGGGCCCCAGAGGGAATCATTCTCTAGAAGGTTGATGCATACTGCCGTCAAACGCACCAAGGACTCAGGGCACAAACCTCCCTAGTGCCTGGCACGCTGGGGCGCCCCCTAGAGACTCACCTCAGTGCACAGTTCGTGAGCTTTGGCATCCCAGAGCCCCTTACCTCTCTGTCCGGGTCAGCCCTCCTCCCACGCAGTTCCAGTGATGGTGACATTCCGTCCCCCCCAAGCCTGAAGGTGCCTTGCGACCCAGGCCTTTGCCCCCCTTGCAATTGACAGTGGCTGGTTCAGGGATGGTGTGTGACCAAACCGAGCTAATCACAGCCAATGAAACTCAACTCTGGGACTTTCGATCAAGCTCTCAGGGCAGTGGACTCTCTTTTCCCCACAGGACTTGGACCTGAAAGTTTATAGCACTGAGGGAACGTCCAGTCTGAGAAGGTGACCAGTGCAGCACAAGGTATTGCCGAGAAATAGAGAGAAACAGCATTCTCCTGGCAGCGTTTGAGTTCTGGATCAAGCCCTACCTCAACCTTCATGAACTTAGCAGACACATGAGCCAATAAATCTCCCCTTTGTGTTTATCCAGCCTGAGTCAGGCTTTCTGTCACTTAAGTCAAAAAAGGCCTGACTGACAAACCCATTCTCTGGCATCAAGGCCTTTGTAAAACCAAATTAATAAAGTGATAGCTACTTGAATTAGCACAGGCTCAGAGCAAAAGGAACTAGATCATGTTTCAAGATATTCTACTCAGGCTTTAGGACATCTCTACCCTACTTCAAGTGTTGTGGGGGAAAAAAGCTTCAGAATTGGAAAACTTGAGTTTAAATTTCAGCCTTTCACTTACTTACTAGATGTGTGACCTTGGACAAGTCACTAAACCTCTCTGAGACTCTTATTTCTTCAAACCTCTGAAGGCTATAACAAGAGTAAAATGAAATAATGTGCATAAAGCACTAAGTACACAGTAGGTCCTCAATAAATGCACCCCCACAATGTGGCTCAGCCCATCTAGATCTGCTTAATTACAGGTACAAAAAGAAGACATATGGGGACAGAGAGGAAAGCCATTCTGTTTCCCCAGAATTCACTCATGGTGGATCTCGCCCCCAACGTGTATCTTCTGTTGGTCTTATCAGGAGGTAGGAGGGTACAGTAGAAAGGAGCAAGGGCTTTGGGGCCAGAGAGGTCAGAGAGACCTGGGTTTAAGTCCCACCCCTGCTCTGTGACCTTAGGCAAGTCGCCTAACCTCTCTGAGCCTTGTTCCCTCATTAGTAAAATGGGGAAGGCAATGCCTACGTCATAAGGGGATAGAGGATGAAAACACGATGCAGTGTACACTGTACTCACCAAGCGTGCTTATTTTCCCAGGCCCTAGCCAGGATCTTCCTTAAAGGTTGGTCCTCAAGACCCTGCCACATTCCCGTCTCCCTGAGCTCAGCCATGCCTGTGACTTAACTCCTTGGGCTCCCTGATGACCACCAAAGCTCTGTGTCCAGCCCCGACCTCTCTCCAGAGTTCAGACCTCCTGGGTGTCTCCACCAGAAGGTCCTCCATGTGCCCCAACCCCAGCACAAGGTCCTGGCTCGTCCACTGCTCTCTGTGTGATCTGGGTCTGTCACCTCAGCCTTGGTTTCTTCACCTATAACATGAGCAGGTGGTGGTAGGCCACTACAGAGGCTCTCCCAGCCCTAACATCCTAGGATTCTCACCTCCACCATGTCATCTCCCCAGCTCAGCACCACCTCCTCCCCAGACTCACCACCTTCAAAAGCAGCCCCACCATTCTCCAGCCAACCCCAGCTCGAAAACTTTGAGCCAGCTTGGATTCGTCCATCTCGTTCATCACAGCCCCCACGCCTGGGAGCATCTCCCTTGGAGATGCTACCCTATCTACCCTTCTCCCAGTTGCCACCACCATCATCCTAGTCCAGACCCTTAGCATTACAAGCTCCAGCACTGGCTTCCCCATGCAGTCCATCCTCTACTCTCTCCATCCACGGAGCCGACAGTCAGTGAGGGACTGGGGCAGCCTCCTGCCCAAATAGTCTTCGCATGGAGGCTGGGCCTCCTCATGTCACCATAAAGAGCTGGACTTCACTGTTGACAATGCCAGTGCCCTGGAGATTTTTTTTAAGATTGGGGATAAGGAGAGAAACCTTTCATAGTGTTCATACTAGATAGTCAATAAATATTCGTTAAATTTGTTCATTCATTCATGCTTTTCGAAACACACCCCTGGGATGGTCATCTCCAGTCCAAGACAGACAACACCAGAGATCCCTTTGCGAATCTCACAAAAGCTATGGGCCTTTGCTTCACAAATGCACACTTGCACGTGACACTTTGTGTATAATTTCAGGGGTTCATAGCCCCCTGAGCCCATCTACAGAGTAAAGGTTGCCTGATTAAGCTCATTTTACAGATGGGGAGACTGAGATGCAAAGAGACAAAGGGGTATGTTGGAGAGCATGCAGAGCGTGTCTTCCTGCCAGGCAGTAGACCATCTCATGACAGTGCCGGATCTACTTCTGGCTCCAGACCCACGCCTCTGGGTGATAAGTCACATAACACCTTACATCTTTGTGCTGTGTCCTCATCCATGCAAGAGGGACCAGGCTGCACTGTGAGGCTGCAGAGAGAAGATGCTGTGTGTAGAGGAACCCAGCCCAGCCCCGGGCATGGAAGACAATTCCTGTCCCATTCTTTGGCTTGCCTTTTCTCCTCCTCTCTTTGCAGGACTTTGCAGCACAGAGACATCACTGCCATCTAAAGTGGCCGCAGAAGGCTTCATGGAAGAGATGAGCCTGCCCGAGCTTCAATTTTGGGTGCTGGAGGAAGGCAGGGGCCAAGGGTTATTAATAGGCCTGGCTTGATGGGCCCAGGGAGGTTGAATGTGATACAGACACCCAGCATCCCCGGTGGGGAGTACCTGACACCAGAAGGGGAGGGAGCTGGGGGCCGGGGGGAGCGCCACCTCCCAAAATAGCCAGAGCAGAAGCCTATATAGGCGGCCGTCCCACCATCAGGCTCACTTCCCAACAAGACCTCCCACCAACCTAGCATTTTGGTGTGGTTCCAGCCCTCCACCTGCACCTGAGGTGAGTGGCAGCTACTGAGGTTGGAGGGGGATAGAGGGATGGAGTGGGAAGGAGGCCAGCTGGAAGGGACAGCCACATCTCGCCTTGCCCCAGTGACACAAAGGCTGGGGGAGGGGATGCCAAAAGGTAGGCAGCTGCAGAGTCCAGGGTGAGAGTAGGGAACTCCAGCGCTCTCCATCCTGACCCCCCGGGAGACCTGGGGCAAATCCCTCCCACTGGCTGGGCCTCAGGCTCCCACCTGGAGAATGAGGGGGTGGAGCCCGACATCTGTGGACTCCAGTGATGCCATCAGAGGGGGCCATGCGTGGGCAGAGGAGGCGGGAGGAAGGAGTGTGGAGGGCTGACAGGCTGACCTGACGATATTGTCTGATACTCTGGTGGGTGGACTCGGGCTCAAAGGGTGTCAGGTTGATGGGAGGCAGCATGGAGAGACAGAGGAAGGAGGGAGAAGGATGGGCCTCTGTTGTTGCTCCAGCTTTGCCACAGGGGTCAGTGTTTGAGACTCTCCAGGAGCTCATCTGCGGCTCAGACATGTGGGACTTGATAGGGCTGGGTCCTGAGCCCTGGGGAGGAGCTCCGCGGAGGGGTCACTGAACTCTAAGTTAGCCAACCTGGGACTGGGCCCCTCTCTGCCGCTGCCTCGCTGTGTGTCCTTAGCCCATTCACTGACTCTCTCTGGCCTCAGTTTCCCCACCAGTGTAGAATAAGTATCCTTCATCTGGGGAAACAGATTCTCTAATCAGGCCCCCAGAGTGAACTGAGCCCAGGGGTTGAAATGATAGCACAGAAGCCCAGCATGTCCGAGTTGGGGACAGCCTGGCTGGGGACGGGGCAGCTGAGGGGTCCGGGGAAGTCCTCGTGTCGAGAGAGACCAGCTCAGGAGCTGTAGCCTTGGTGCCCTGGAAGCCAGCTGGTGGGCTGTTACCTGAAGGAGCTGACTCACAGGGAGGGGGCCAGGCAGAGCCAGCAGCTTCCTAAGGTTTCCAGGAAGGCAGCCCTCCAGGGCCGAGCTGAGGGAGACAGTGCTGACAGCCAGTGCCAGGGAACTTGAGCTAATGGGCAGCTGGGCAGCTCTCCCCAGCCACCCCTACAAAGGGCCACCAGTCTCAGCCCCTGCCCGCATGCGCACATCTTGAGCTGAGGTCTCAAGGTTCCGCCACAAGGGACCACAACACCATCAACACAACAGAGGGAGACAGAAGCCCAGAGATGGGGAAGGTCACCACCCAGGGTCACACGGGCACTTAGTGCAGCCCCAGATCTAGAACCCAGGCCTCCTGACTCCCTGTCCAGTGCTCCACACACTCTAGAGACAGCTGGTTGCAGCCTGAATCCTTGGGTGACCGTGGGAAAGAATGCAATTGCTCTCTGGCCGCATAAAGATTAGGAAGTGTCACATTTCCCAGAGATGAAATCCAGGCCATAAAACCTGCTTAAGTCGTCTAGAAAGTGTGGTCTGAAGGTGCCACCTTCTCCCCACACTCGGGCTTTCTGGTCTCCAGGTGGGGGAGGGTGCATAGAGATTCCAAGCAGCGTCTCCCACCTTACCCTCCCCCAAAAGATTTGTGGGAGCAGGAGGAGTCTGGACCCGGCAATATACTCTGTGGCCCAGGAGACCAGGAAAGTAGTGAGTGGGGATCTGAGAAGGGATCTTTGAAAAGTCAGACTAGAAAAAAAGGAAAAAAAAAAATCAGGTTTCAGAAAGCGCATCCCCGGCCAGATGTAGGATAGGGCACCTGCAGAGGGCCCGGGCAGTGCCGGCCTATCCCAGCCACCCTTTCCCAGCGTCCCGTGGGTCAGGTTTCCAGACCTCAGCGCTCAGATTTTGCAGCATAAATTTGCATCCAGGACAGACGAGAGCGGAAGCTTAGGTAGGAGCAGAGAGAGAACGGGAACAGGGCCGAGGGGTCCAGTATCCTTCCTCCCTGAAGCTGCGGGACATCCCCGAGGTGCATCGCCTCGAGACCCTCCACTGCAGCAGGCTGGTGCCTCCTGCGTGCCCTTGACGGCAGGTGAACACTCCAGATCTGGCTGGTCACGTAGAGGTCGCCCCTTCCCCTGGCGCCCTGGCCGCAGCCGCTGGGATCCCGAGGACCCCCGGCGGGGGCGGTGCGGGGGCGGCAGCGGGACTGCCCGGCCGCCCGGCCCGCGCAGCCCGGCGGCTCGGCTGGACTGAGCTGCTCTGGCCGCGCGCCCAGCCCCGCGCCCCCTGGCTCTGCGCCAGGCCGGCGGGCGTGCGCCCGGCGCGCAGCACTGCAGCGCTGGTCATATGAGCAGAAATGATGAGAAAAGCACTTTTTAATCTTTTCACACTTGCTCTGCCCGCTCAAACAGTTGCAGGATGTCGATGACAGACTTGCTCCACGCTGAGGACATCAAGAAGGCAGTGGGGGCCTTTACCGGTGAGCACCGCGCTCCCCTCCCCAGCCCTCTTCCCTCATCCACCACCCTGGCCCCTACACCCCCGTGGGCTCCGCGGCCGTCCAGTACTCCCCAGCGCTCCTCTGTCCACGCATCCCGCGGGGCGCTGGCCGGGCGGGGAGGGTAGTCCTCAGCATTTCCCAGACTCCGTCCAGACGGGACTTGGCGCAGGGAGCCGGCAGGGAGGCCGGACAACCGAAACTTGCAGGCGCCAAAGGCCAGGTGGCTGCGCTGCGAGGACTGGGATCCCGGACCAAGGGCGAAGACCTGGGTAGAAGGCGGGGTCTCCGGGTCCTTCTGGGCTCTCGGGACTTCCCCTTTAAGGCCCTTTGCGGGCGGGGGGGGGGGGGGGAGGGCTGCAGGCGCGCACGCCTTCTCTCCAAGCGACCCCTTCCCGAGATCCCCATTCTGGACAGGGCTCTTCTTGCCCGGCAGTGGCCTTTGCTGGCTCCCTGGCTGTCCAAGCCTCCTCTCAGGGGCTCAGAGTCCCCTCTCTCCCCAACGGACCCGCGAGCGAGGTGACCTTCCCGCGGCTGGCGCTCTGCTCTGCCGGACCCTGCGCCGAGCATCCTTAGTGCTTGTAACTTCCAGCCTCCTTAGGCAGCCGAGGGAGGCAAGCCGGCAGTCTCGCCTCTGAGCTGCTCTGGACTTGAGCGCTTAGCTGCCTCCTTCCTTCTCCCTGTGGTCACCCAGATGCGTAAACTGAGGCTCAGAGAGGGCTAAAAACTTGCCCAAGGTCACCTAGCTCTGCAGAAGGGGGATTAGAACTGGGGTCACCTCCAGGTCGTGGTCCCCTAATGTCAGAGGCAGACAGAGCAACCTTCCTTCCCTCCTGCCTGGGGCTGAGAGCAGGAGAACCAATCTCAGCAAGACCCCCCACAGGCACATACACGTTACTCCATCTCACACTGTACCCTTTCCCAGGTGTTCTTAAAAAGGATCTCAGGACATAGAAAATTGGGGACAGGGTCTCCCATTTCCTTTCTGTTTGGCACCCCCTCCCCCCTGCATGAAGCAGCTCAGGGAGCCCCCTCCCAGGGGGCTGCAATAGCCCACCACTTCTCCTTAGCCCACCTTGCTCCCTCTGAGAAGAAACTTAACTGGGAATTCCTGGGGAGACTTCCGACACCCCGCCACACTCCCCCAGAATGGGTTTCTGCAGCAAAGCCACAACTTCTGGGTACTCCCCCTCCTCCACTCACTGTGTGACCTTGAGAGAAACTTGTCCTCTCTGTGTCAATTTTCTAGCAACACAACCTGTGGCCAAGAAAAAAGGTTGACCCCCCACCCTCCACAGACACACACCATGTTCACACCACCTCCACTTCCCCAGCCCACTCCCGCTCAGCCACCACCCACAGGCTTCACGGACACCAGGAATTCCCTCTGCCTTCAAAGGCTACCTCCCCCATCAGAGAAGGGTACAGTGGAGGGTGGGGGCGGGCTTGGGAGCCAGGGAGATCTGGGTGCAAGCCCACCTCTGCCACCTCTAGCTGGGTGACCTTGGGCAGAGCACCCTGTCCTGGGCACCCTCAGCCCCCACGTGGACGGGCACAGGGAAGTCAACAGACAAATGCTGCCAGACACCCCCATTCTCCCCTCCTTCCCACTGCCTCCTCTTTGTCCTCATGTTAACCTGCTTCCCCCCACAGCTGCAGAATCCTTCGACCACAAAAAGTTCTTCCAAATGGTCGGCCTGAAGACAAAGGGCCCGGATGACGTGAAGAAGGTGTTCCACATCCTGGATAAAGATAAGAGCGGCTTCATCGAGGAGGAAGAGCTGGGGTAAACTGAGCCCTGAGGGCTGCCCAGCCTGTGGCTCCGGGAGAGGGAGTCGGGGTTGGGACGCCTGCTTCTGGGTTCCCATCAGATCTGCCCTCTCTCTCACAGAAAATAACCCTGCCTGGCTGCTGATGCTTCCGCAAGAATAAAATCCTCAGCAGAAAGTGCAACAAACTAGGTTAAATTATAGCCACTTAATATTGCTAATGGAATGATGCTACTTAATAATTTAATACAAATGAAGAGGCAGTTTTTCTCGCTGCCTAACACCATAGGCCAGACAGAGAGCGCTCGCTTGACTATTTCATTGATTTTCATTTGTCTGAAAGGCACCTTCCACCGCCCCGCAGACCCCTCCCTTCCATACCAGTGCGGCCAGAGCAGTTTCTGGGCAAGTCAGGGGTGCAGAACTAGCTCTGGGGGTTCAGGAGTCCTGGGAGCAAAGTGGAGAAGGAGAAACTATGACCAGGAAAATGCAAAACTGCATCAGCAAAGGAATCTCCCACCGTCACCCCTCAGCCACCTGGCCCGTGTCTGCCCACCTGGCTGTGCCTTATGTCACCCTCTGGCCAAGACTGCCTTGAATTTTGTCCTAAAGGGAAGGGAAAGAGTGTGGGGAGGGGCCTTTCAAGTAGGGACTTCCCCATCCATCCAGTCTTAGCCCAAACCATCCCACAAGGGTACCCTTTGACTAGAACCTTCTCCTTCTACCCACCCACGCCCAGTATGCACACACACATGCACACACACAGAGGCTTCTACCTGTCCTCCAGGCATCTCTAGGAAGCTCCCCTGACTCTTCCCCTCACGCCAGGTGGGATAGATGCATCCTTAAAGCATCCCTCTCTACTCCCCCATCATTGCATCCATCACCCTGTGTGGTCCCTCGGAGCGCTTGACCTCCTCCTCCTGTTTTCAGGCAGCTACCTAAGACCATCTCTGTGCCCCCAGTTTCCAGCATGGCCCCGGCACAGAGAAGACACTTTTGTGTTTGTTGTATTGGCTGAAAAATAAACAAATGCAGGGGCCCTACCTGGAGTGAGGTCAACTGTTCCCTGAGGACAGCCTGTCCTTCCCTGCACGCCCACCCAGGAAGGCACAGCCCCAGCCGGGGCTACCTGGCTCAGCACAGCTGCACGCGTGCCGGCTGCTCCGCCTGTCCCAGCTGCCCACTTCCCTGCGCAGGTGCCAGCCCACCATCCGTGTGGTGTTCCTCCAAGGTGACCTCGACCTGACTCCCTCCCTGGCTTTTCTCCCCAGGTTCATCCTGAAGGGCTTCCTCCCAGATGCCAGAGACCTGACTACTAAAGAAACCAAGACACTGCTGGCTGCTGGGGACAAGGATGGGGACGGCAAGATTGGGGCCGACGGTGAGTAGCCATGACCTGGGGCCTGGGCACATTGTGGAGCTTGGGATGTTTCGATGCTGAAAGCTCGGAGCTGCGTCTGTCACCTGAAAGGGAGAGGAGGGGTCCCACGTTCCCTAAGATTAGAAGAAAAAGGCAATCCATTAGGTCTGAGAGCTCTGTCATGAAAGCCAGGCAAAGAAAAACTGGTATATTTTTTCTAAATTTGAACAACCCAAAAGGAATAGATTCTTTTTTCTCCCTGCTGTGCAGGGATCCAGGAGAATTTGGCATCTTCCCTGGACTCTGCCTGAACCTTTGCTCGAGTTCTGGTCCCGGCTCTGTGACCTTGAGCAGTCTCTCTCCTTCTCTGGGCCCCAGGCTCCCATCTGTAACCTGAGGAGATGAGGCCAACTGATTCCCAAGGACCCTGCTGGCTCTCACCTTCTCGGATTCCAGGGATGGAAATTCCTTATCTCCTATCCTAGTCAGCATCTTGTCCTGGTGTCCTATAACTTTGAGTCTCAAAACCTGTTTTGGCTTCACCCAAATACACAATTCCAGCATTGTAGGAGAGCCAGGAAAAGCAGCCAGCCAGGAATCAGCTGGGACTTAGGAAAAGGAATATCTGGCCCTGTCTTGCTTGTCAAGCTTTGCTTTCAGAACAGGTGAGGGGCTGGTGATCCACCATCCCACGTCCTCCTCTGTTCAGATCTAACCAGCATTCACAGAGCACCTCTCAGCATCATTATCTTTCTTAGCATCACAGCATCCTTGGAAGTTATCTCCATTTTGCAGATGGGCAAACTGAGGTTGAAGGTGTTTAGCCTGCTCTAAGAGCTAGGACATTAGTGGTGGAGCAGGGATTCAGAACCAGGTCTGAAGAACTCTTTCCACACGCTGTGCTGCACCACTCCCAGGATAGTCCTTTCTGTCAATCTAAGAGAAAACTGTGTGTTGGTGCCAGACCTCTGGGCCCAGGCTGTCGGTTCAAATCCCAGCCCTGCCACTTTCTAGCTGTGCGACTTTGGGCTATTCAAGTAACTACTCTGGGCCTCAGTTTTCTCATCTCTGAACTGAGGATAATGATAGTTCTTATCTCATAGGACTGTTGTGAGGACAAATGGGGTGTGCAAATGGGGTGCACAGCTTTATCCTAAGACCTACTTCGGCTTGTTGTCAAAATGAAGTGGCTATAGACACAAAGTTGCTTTGGGAAAGGTACAAGGATTCTAAATATGGGCACCGTTTATTAAAGTTTTATGCCAGAATGAGAATGGAGAAACTCCAGCTAGGTCAGCCACAGCGAGTCCCCTGGACTTCCAATGCCAGCTGCCCTTCTTGTGGCAGGAAAGGCGGGAGGAGGTTTTAAAAGAGCCGGAGCAGAGGGTGCTGGAGGGAAATTGGTGGCTGGTCTTGGTTCCAGGGAGTGGCACATCTCCCCCACAGCCCCATCCTCACCAAGCCACTTATCAGAGAGCTTCCCCCAAGCCCGTGTTCCTGCCGTGACCCCAACTCAGGCCTCCAGACACGCCTCCCATTTTTATTTGCAGCCAATATGTCACAGCTCGGAAGCCCTAGGCAGGGTCTTCATGGCTGGCTGCTCATGAGGAAGCTACAAGATGAAGAGAAACCAGGCCAGATCCTGGCCTGCTCCCCGCTCCCCTCCCCCGCTCCCTGCCGAACTCAGATCTTAAAGAGCTAACGCAACTCTTCCAACAGACCCGACACACATTTACTGAGTAGCAACCCTGTGCCAGGCAGTGGCAGACATAAAGATGAATCATGCCCAACTCCCAGAGGCACCATCACCCAGCTGGGTGCCCCTAAGCCCCAGTTTTCTCATCTGTAAACTGGGCAGGACAACACACACCTCCCTGGGATTGTGTGGGACTCCAGGACACGACGTATGGGAGCGTGGAGCCCAGCACATGGCGAGGCTGCCATCCTGCTCCGCGTGCACGTGGCTGACAGCTCTGTGTATACACACAAACGAACGGTAAGACCAGGCTGAGGCCGGGAAGTGCAGACGAGCTTCGTGGAGGGGGAGACAGCGGGCACTCTTGCAGATCTGGAGGCTGTGGGCAGGAATGCCCCAGGCTGGCAGGGGCCGAGGAGGGAGGTCCAGGCGAAGCGTTGGTATCAGCAAAGGCACTGAGGCTGGGAAGTTAGGGCGTGTTTAGACAGAGGCAGGACGATTGGTTTGCTGGGGTGGGAGGGGAGAGAGAATTGTACCCGGGTGTGTAACGTGTGCCCAGCCCGGTGCTGAGGTCTGCACACATCACCTCATTTGACCTTGGGATGACCAAGGTCACAGGTGCATAAAGGAAAAGAGCAAAAAGAGGACTCTGGTGCCCAAGGTGACACTGGATTCAAACCCAGGTCTGTCTGCCAGCACTGTCCGGGCTCAGGCCAACCTGGTGAAGGCCTAGAGGTCAGGGCAGAACAAAACGGGGGGCAAGAGACGAAATGCGCAATGAGAACAGATGGCCCGAGGCAGTGGGGCCCCACACTTCATGCTTTTGAGGTAGGAAGGTGCAGACGCACCCCGCCCCAGCCTCCACCCCAATACAGTCCTTTTTCTGGAGGGTGACAGGACGGGTGGGTGTGATAATGCCCGACAGGCAGCGAGATGGGAGGCAGAGCCCTTTGCGGGCCCGGGAGGTTCTATTTCAGGCGCTGCTTTGCTGCCTGCTCCCTCTACAGGCCAAAGGGCCGGACCAGCCCACCAGCTGGAGGACGCTTCAGCCCCCGGTGGGACCTGCGGCGAGTCACGGAACTCCTCTGACCTTCAGGCGCCTGCTCTTTAAAATCAGGGGTCCCTTCCGGCTCTGGGATGCCCTGGATGCCCCAGTGAATAAACCTCTAGACAGGACCAACTCAGCCCTTAGGCTCAGCTGTGTGGCCTTAAATAACAGTGGCAATGACATCTAACCTCAGGGAGCACTGACTGTGTGCCAGGCACTGTACTTAGCAATTCACTCACTCCATCTTCCTGTCTCTCTTTGAGGCAGATACCGTTACTATCCCCATTTTACTGATGGGGACACTGAGGCTCAGAGAGGGTAAGGGTTTGCCTAAACTCCCTCACCTAGGAAGAGACAAGGTCAGGATCTGAGTTCAGGGCTGTCCGCATCCGAAGCACGTGCCCTATGCTGCCTGCTTCATTCATCATCAACGTTTCATGAGCGTCCACCATGAGATGATATCGTCTATTGACTTATGCTTGCTTCTCTCTCCCCTACTGGGATGTCAGCTCCACGGGAGCCAGAACTTCCTTTTGTTCAGTTCTGACTCCAGCACCTGGAAGGGGGCCTGCTGCACAGTAGGGGCACAAGGCAAGTTTGTTTGTTGAATGAATGAATGAGTGAATGAATATGTGTCCAGCAGGGGATGCAATGATGAGGAGGTGTGATGTGTAGGGCTGGGCACTGGCATGTAGCAGGTGCTGGGAGATTCTAGAACCAGGGACAGCCTCCATCACCAGCTCTGTTTGCCCTTCTGAAGGTGAGTGATATTTACCAGGTCCTCCAGGACCCCAGATTGAAGGGAAGGGGCAGAAGGACAAAGTTCTTGTGATAACCCTTTGTATTCCCATCTCTGGGGCAATGACTTCCAGGAAGCTCAAAGACTTTTATAGATGTGGTCGATCGATTCTGGAAGGCCACCCTTAAAAGGCTGGTGCAGAGCTGGTAACGGAGGGGTTTAAGGCAGGAAAGGAGACAGACCTGGACAGAGGTGGAAGGTGGCCAAACACCCAGCCACAGTTGCAAACCCAGGCACAAACAGCAGGCGAGACTATCCAGTGGTAGCCTACCTGTGAAGGGACTTGCCCTTCACAAGGGTGCATCTCATACAGGACCCGGCGTCAGACTCACCCGGCTTTTCACAGCACAGGTGGCTGTGCCCCACCCAGAGTTTCTGATTCCTTAGGTCTGGGATGGGGCCCACACGTTTGCATTTCTACCAAGTTCCCTGGTGGAGCTGATGGTCTGGGGACCACACTTTGAGAATCACTGTCTTACAATAATCCTAGAAAGTAGGTGCCATACTCTTCCTGTTTTACAAATGGGGAAACTGAGGCACTGAGAGGTTAGGAAACATGCCCAGGGTCAGTCAGGAGCAGAGTCAGGATTGAGGCTCCCTGGTACAGCCAAGACCCTCTGCTTCCCTGCCTCTCACACGGCCCTGTGTCCCAGCCTGGGCTCTCCACCCCCATTGCTTGCCCGAGTGGAATGTGCAGGCTGGCAGGGAGAGCGGTTACCATCCACTGGGCACTTCCTGTGTGCCAGGTGCTGCCCACGGGCCTCACCCCTTTTAGCTCGTGCAGTCCTCACAACAGCTCCCCAAGATACACCCTCACTGTACAGACAAGGAAACTGAGGCCCAGAGAAGTGGAGCCACTTGCCCAGGATCACACAGCTATTCAGCATTGGGGCCCACTTCAAACCTTGACACTCCGGCTCCAAATAGCTCTCTCCTCGGCACCACGCTGCAGACAAGATCTGCACACCCTGTATGCACGCATGCAGGCACGCAGTCCTGGTGAGGGTTTTCCTGAAACCCAATCCCCTGGCAGATCCAGTTTCCTAGGCTTCAAGCCTGTTCCAGCTCAAGAGCCTGTGGTTTGCTTTTTGCTTCCGTTGCTGCAAAATTTAGTCATAATTATTGCCTGACCGTTGCAGGCGGCTCCACTCACGTGCCTGAAGACATTTGCCTTTTCTGCTTCCTTCTGGCAAAATCCGTTCTCTTTTATCCTTAAGTAGCCTATTTAACGGGGGAGGCGGTAGTGAGGGAGCAAGCCCTTGGGCTGAAACACCTGAAGTCAGGCAGAAAGTACGCCCCGCCGAGTGCGTGAGTGCGTGCTGCCAGCCGTGTGAACGGCCAAGTCTCCTCTTCCCTCTGGGCATCCATTTCCTCATCCCAGAGTGGGAATAAGAATATCTACCTCACAGGGTGATTGGTTGAATTGAGTGAGTGTCCTGGAAACGGTTCCTTTCCTCTTAGTTTCTACGTATGCTTTC